ATGCATGCCACTAGTTTCTCCATACAGGAGGCGTATTGAAGCTGTCATTGCCAACAAAGGCTTTTGTACAAAGTATTAGATAAGTTTGATTTCTTTGTATGTATGGATCACTTGGGTTGTTACGACATCTGGTGAAAATTTCATGTCATTAGCACCTCTAGTAATATATTTACTGAGAAAAATGTTGACGTGTTCAATTCTTATTTTACCCGCTGTATATACCTCAGTTAGTGTTTCTAAATTTAGCCTATAAATTTAGCAAGAGCTAATCTACTAGTACATTTTAAAAATAGCAAAAGCCCTAAAGTACTAATCAGGAAATTAGTTCCCCTATTAGTGCTTTAGTGCTTTAGGGGAACTTTGCCCACCAATGCATATACAGTATGTATATGTTACTAGTTACTGATAAAAATGAGAAGTTAGTTTTTGAATTAGCTCGGGAACTAACAGGATAAGCTGAGGTTCTCCTTCCATGGAGCACCTGTATTTGCATTTTCAGAGTCATGTCTACATTCTCCCCTCAGCGCGCTCCAGTTTCATTTTAAAGGGCTTATCATCAGATACTGTTCAAGATTAGCTAGAGCTAGAGAAGCTAGAAAGAGCTCGCACTGGAGGACCTAATAAGCATCATTATTTACCCGGTAAGTTTTGCAGTGTATTTTCTTTTAATTAAAAAAAACTAAACATTATTTTTTACTGTCTTGCTTTTATAGTTGAAGTTAAAGTTTATTAAAAAACATCTAATGTTACAATTAGTCAGTTTCTTTAGGCTGAGGTGTTCCTAAAGTTCATACTCAAGTAAAATACACACATATAGTAACTCTGATTGTCACATTATTGGGCAATGGTAACATCAGTGACATTTCCAGGTGTTTCCATAGACTGTCCTCCAGGAGCATGTAGGTGGAGCTGGCATCCCAAATGCTGTACTTACGTATGAAACCTCTCCTAATGTGTAAATGAACTAGATGAGCAGGTCTTACTTGGCAGCATCTTTGAGGTCGTTGACGCTTCTTTTGTTATTATTTCCATCTTTAAAGGTGGTCTGATTGGCGACACGTAAAATTCCATCTCTTGTGTTGAAATCGGGGAAGCACCGCTGAAGGACTAAAACACATTTGTGAAGAGGTTTTTGGTGTGCCTTTAGTCGCACGGAAATTATTATTATTTTTGTCAATTTTGTGGTTATGGGAACTCTGGTTCACTTACACAGTCTGCTTGGCACAATCATAGAGGGGCAGTCTTCATCACGTATGACATCTGCAACTGACTGAAAGAGAGCAGAAGAGAAACTTCTGAAAATTACTGTCCATTCACTTATCAGTCTTCTAAATGACAGAAAGAAAGAAATTATTTTAAGTGAATGCCCCCCCCCCCACACCTTTAAATCTATCATGTATAAAATGAGAAGAATTCTAATAATAAAAAAAACCTACAAATCCTTACAACTGTTTTACTTCCAGTTCATGTCTCAACAGTGAACTGTAGAAGCACCACAGACCTGAGCCCATGGATCCTCAAACACTGACCCAGGTCATATGTTCGAAGCCTCACTACAGGATTTCTATTTATAACAAAACCACAAAACATGTAACAGAAAACAAATCTTTATTTTGCGTATAACACTTTTGCTTTTTATGTTTTCTATTTTGGTTCGATCAACCTGCAACCCTCTTGTTGTGAGGCGACAGCTAAAACCACTGTGCCACTGTGTCACCCAGTATTTAAATATTAAATGCAAAATGTGTCAGACTCAGATTATTCATAGGCAAGAGTAATGGCTTTGGTTCTTCACATTCCTGTAACTCACTGAAACAAGGATGAAACGTTCTTGAAACTGTCAACAGAATCTGAACTGGTTCCCCAGATCCCAAACTTCCCTGGATCCCTTTGTTCCCTGGTATAKTGCCTGCACTGTAATTCAGTATTTTTTTTTCATTTATTTTATAGGTACCCTGAGTACATAGGTAATGAGGAAATGTAAGGAGCAATCTCTCCTCTTAAATAAAATTTGCACAGACAAAACCTACATGATTGTTCAAACTAAGATAAAGCAATTTATAAAATGTAATTTATTTATGTACATTTATGTGATTATGCATGTTTTATGTTGGGGGTGTACTTTTGTGTGTTTCTGGTACCAGTCCCAAGCCCGGATAAACGATGAGGGTTGTATCAGGAAGGGCATCTGGTGAAAGGAGTGTGTAGGTTAGAGTAGGGACTCTGAATGTAGGAACAATGACTGGTAAAGGCAGAGAGCTGGCAGACATGATGGAGAGAAGGAAGGTAGATATTTTGTGTGTCCAGGAGACCAGATGGAACGGAAGAAAGGCCAGGAACATTGGAGGTGGATTCAAACTGTTCTATCATGGTGTAGATAGGAAGAGAAATGGAGTAGGGGTAATCTTAAAAGGAACAGTTTGTGAAAAGTGTTCTGGATGTGAAGAGAGTGTCTGACAGGATCATGAGCTTGAAGTTGGAAATTGATGGTGTCATTTTGAATGTTGTCAGTGTGTATGCACTACAGGTTGGTTGTCAGTTAGAGGAGACAGAGGAATTTTGGAATAAGCTGGATGAAGTGGTAGAAAGTGTCCCCAGAGAAGAGAGATTGGTGATTGGAGCAGACTTCAATGGTCATGTTGGTGAAGGGAACAGAGGAGATGAAGAGGTGCTGGGTTGGTATGGTGTGAAAGAAAGGAATGCAGAAGGACAGATGGTTGTAGATTTTGCAAAGAGAATGGAAATGGCTGTGGTGAACACATATTTTCAGAGGAGTGAGGAACACAGAGTAACATACAAGAGTGGAGGAAGGGGCACACAGGTGGATTATATCCTTAGAAGGAGATGCCACCTGAAAGAGATTAGAGATGTAAAGTGATGCCAGGGGAGAGTGTAGCAAGACAGCATAGGGTGGTAGTCTGTAAAATGAGATTAGAAACAAAGAAGAGGAAGAGAGTGAAGACGGAGCCAAAGATTAAGTGGTGGAAGCTGAAGGAGGGGGATTGTTGCAGGCAGTCCAGGGAAGAATTGCAACAGGCTCTTGGGGGCAGTGAGGAGCTACCTGAGGACTGGGAAAACAGCTAAGGTGGTGAGAGAAACTGGCAAGAAGGTGTTGGGTGTCTCTTCTGGTCAGAGGAAAGAAGACAAGGAAAGTTGGTGGTGGAATGAGGAAGTCCAGGAGAGCATTCAGAAGAAGGCGGCAGCTAAGAAAATGTGGGATAATCAGAGAGATGAAGGAAGTAGGCAGGAGTATTGTGAGGCTAGTCACATAGCGAAAAGAATGTGGCAAAGGCAAAGGCTCAGGCCTATGATGAGTTGTATGAGAGGCTGGATAGTAAAGAAGGAGTAAAGGACTTGCACTGTTTGGCTAAACCAAGAGATAGAGCTGGAAATGATGTACAGCAGGTTAGGTTGATAAAGGATAGAGAGGGAAACATACTAGTGAGTGAACAGAGAGTTGAGTAGATGGAATGAGTATTTTGAAGAACTGATGAATAAGGAAAATMAGAAAGAGAGGAGGACAGAGGGGGGACAGATAGTGGATTAGAAAGTGCAAAGAATTAGTAAGGAGGAAGTGAGGGCAGCCTTAAATAGGATGACGAATGGAAAGGCAGTTGGTCCAGATGACATACTTGTGGAGGTATGGAGATGTCTAGGAAAGAAGGRAGTGGACCTTTCGACCAGGTTGTTTAACACAATTCTGGAGAGTGAGAGGATGCCAAACGAGTGGAGAAGCAGTGRACTGGTGCCCATTTTTAAGAACAAGGGTGATGTGCAGAGCTGCAGTAACTACAGAGGTATAAAGTTGATCAGCCACACCATGAAGGTATGGGAAAGAGTTGTTGAACCGAGGCTAAGGCGAGAGGTTCAGATCAGTGAGCAGCAGTTTGGTTTGATGCCAAGAAAGAGTAAAACAGATGCAATTATTGCTTTGAGAGTGATGGTAGAGAAGTACAGAGAATGCCAGAAGCAGCTGCACTGTGTCTTTGTGGATCTAGAGAAAGCATATGATAGGGTGCCAAGAGAGGAACTGTGGTACTGTATGAGGAAGTCAGGAGTGACTGAAAAGGATGTGAGGGTGGTGCAGGACATGTATGAAGACAGTGAGACYGTGGTGAGGTGTGCAGTCGGAGTGACAGATGGTTTCAAGGTGAAGGTAGGGTTACATCAGGGATCAGCTCTGAGCCCCTTTTTGTTTGCAGTGGTGACGGACAGGTTGACAGATGAGGTCAGGCAGGAGGCTCCATGGACCGTGATGTTTGCAGATGGCATTGTAATCTGTGGTGAAGAGTAGAGAGCAGGTGGAAGAACACCTGGAAAGGTGGAGGTTTGCATTGGAGAGAAGATGAATGAAAGTCAGTAGAGACAAGACAGAACACGTGTGTGAATGAGAGGGAGGCAGGTGGAAAGGTGAAGATGCAAGGAGTAGAGGTCAGAAAGGTGGAAGACTTCAAATATCTGGGGTCAACCATCCAGAGCAATGGACAGTGCAGAAAAGAGGTGACGAAGAGGGTGCAGGCAGGATGGAATGGGTGGAGACGAGTGTCGGGGCTGTTGTGTGACAGAAGGATAGCAACAAGAGTGAAAGGTAAGGTTTACAAGACCGCAGTGACACCTGCTGTATGGTTTAGAGACAGTGGCACATGTGTTGAGGAGGGATAGTGGATATATTGGACAAAGCATGTTGGTGATGGAGCTGCCAGGCAGAAGGAGAAGAGGAAGACCGCAGAGAAGATTAATGGATGTAGTAAAAGGGGACATGGAGATGGTTGGTGTAACAGTAGAGGATGCAGGGGATGGGATGAGATGGAGGCAGATGAACTGCTGTGCCGGCCCCTAAAGGGAGCAGCCAAAAGACAAAGAAGAAGAAGAAAGAAGATGTATGTTTTATGTCTCAATGGGGCATTTTATGTATTAGCCCAGCCAAGAAGGTTGTATTTTTCGTAGAGTAGGTTTGTCTGTGCACATTAATAAAAAAATGTACTGTAAAATAGATTTTATTGAAATGTTCAAGAAATTTTGAGGTTGTCATAAAGAAAAAAATGATTAAATTTTGGTGATCTGGATCACCTGTGGTCTCTGGATCACTTGCGGTCTCTCTAGGGTCTTGGCAAAGGTGTGTTTGCCAAGTGTTTATAGGTGGTGAATGTTAGAATTTACATTTAACCAAGAGTGGAACTGCTCTACATTTACCCTCCTCCTTTATCCGGGCTTGGGACCGGCAAAGTGACCCTTAAAGAGACACTCTGGCAGAGTTACTTATTTTTATTTAATTTTTTTTATCAGATTTTATGTATTAATTTTTTTTTACTTTGACTTTAATGAGGTTTTACTTTGAAATTTGAACAAAAGGAGAATGTCTCAAAACACAGATAGGAGAAACACATGAATGTATCATGTTTTTCAAGTAAAAAATACATGACCAAACTCAGAAAGGAAACCATGCAGAGCACACCTCACTTGTTAACAATTRAAGTTCATGAGGTGTTTCTGAAAGCATAAATCTAAAATACTTTATTTTATTTATTCTATTTACTTAATCTTTTAGAGATTTGTTTTTTTAACTAGACAAATTATTGTTTTAGTCTAAAGTTAACTTTTATTATCTTTTTTTATTTTTTGGTTGGAGAAACTGGAGTATTTGGTAAAAACCCATAATTGTAAAGGACTATTAAAAATCTCCATTTAACCCAATATTCTTATTATGCCTCCGCCCACTGGGGCCGCAGGCATACTGTTCTCTGGTTGTCTGTGTGTTAGTGCAGTGTCTGTCCGTCACGGGTGGTCTGGTGTGCACGATGTCTTCTGAATGAAATTATATATTTACTTATAAATTGGCATAGTAACTCCATTAATACTCAGTATGATTAGATTTGTGTATCAAAGGATCATTTATGATGATTGGTAATATAAAATTGGAATTTTTTTTCTAACTCGACGATACAAACGAGGTAGAACTCGATGCTTTGGGATGCCTCCGCCTGTCCTAGTGTCCTCTGCATTGCAGGCACTGGGCATGCAGCWACCTTTTTACCTCTATCTTTGGACTTTAATATTCTAAGATGTATGTAACCATTTCAACAATGTCTAAACATGACTTCCTCTTTGASATTTTCCATTTAATCTAACCAGGTATTTTATTTGTACTGTTGAGGAATTAGAAAAAATGCCAGTTTTAATTTAGCTATCATCATAAATTACCTTGACCTTTGACCCTTCGGTGCTCAAATCTAAACAGACTTAGTACTACCCTAATGGAGTCACTATGCCTATTTATAAGTAAAAATATAATTTCATTCAGGAGATATCGTGCACACAAGACCACCCGTGCTGGGTGGACGCTGCACTAACACACACAGCCACAGTGGGCAGAGGCATAATAAAARACCTGGTTAACCGTAAACTTGTTGAAGTCACAATAATCTACAGTATATATGACAAAAATGACATTTATTTTTGTTTTTAAGAATGCCTTGGTTTGGACATTTTTTCCCCAGAATTATCTTAAAATTTGAGGGTTTTATTCAATTAGGAACAATTATTTTTATTTGTATTACTGTATGATTATTTACGGGAATTATGTGATCTTGAAACAAGGCCGCCATCTTGGATTTTCACATGTCTAATCAGTTAATTAGAAAAATTGTTCAAATTTATGAAACAAGCAAACAAACTCTAGTGAGGATTCTGTTGGAGGTATTTATTATCAGTTCTGTATCTGTTTTCGTGCACCAAAAATGTCATTTTTACGGTCATATTGTACTTACTTGTWTATTTCTTATTTGCTAAAAGGTCTCCACTGCAGCTGAACTGAATCATAACAAACATTACATAAACCCTGACTCCTCTAAAATAAAAATAAAAAATATTTATAAACTTAAACAGAACCCTCACCACAACACCATGTGATGTTCTGAAATCTGCATCAGATTTACCTGAACCTGAAGTGTCCAGGTGACCTGCTGCGCAAAAAACTTTAAGAATTCTTATTTATTTCATCAATAGTGTTTCTGGCAGCCTGACCTGCAGGAGGAGCYTTCTCTCTTTTTAAATTAAACATTCCTCCTCTGAACAACCAGAATCTGAGAAKATCTTTGTTGTTTGGATAAACAGAGAAAAACAAACAAGAAGTTTCAGAAGCCTTGCACTAAATCATTCAGGGCTGATAGTGGGAAAAAAAAAATCCAGATCCTGAGAAGTGGACGTCACATGGGGTTGGGGGTGGGAAGGTTAGGTCCATAAACATAGTGACATTTAGACAATTCTCATCTTGTTAGCTGTGAACATCACCGTGGATTTGATATTTACAGTACATCCAAATCAGGTGAAAGYTGTACACATTACAATAGTAGATGTGCCAAAAGCAATGGAACAAATTAACTTTTTAATATTTGGTTGTAAATACTTTGCAGTCAATTCCTTCCAGATTTTGAGCTTAAACTTCAGCAGGATCTGAATCAAAGTTATGCCAAGACCCAAGTCCCGCCCCACCCTGTTTCTGATTGGCTAGAAGGCCTATCCAGTGTGTTTAAAGTGAAATCTGCACCTCCGTTAGMTCCAGAGACATGTTTGTGAAAACTCTGGGTGAACCCAATGTTTTGTTTTGTTTTTTGTAAGCTACGCCACACCGACGATCTGGAACAGCGCCAGATTGCTATCAGCCCTGTGAAGGACAAACTGAACAGTGTTTGATAAAATACAGCTTGATGTCACCACTAAGAGGGTTTGGAAAAAAAAAAACAATGATTCACTTCCAACAGTGTGACAGAGCTGCAACTTGCTCCCACACAACACCTCACTTGGAGTCCTGCACAGCATCTTGCTAACGTCATTAGCGCTGAGCTGATGCCAGTCAACAGAACACAGCTTAGGTGTGCATTAGTGGATATTAACTCAGTGTTTTCTCTGAACACGTGCAAATAAGCTCTTTGTAGCTTTGGATCAAACTTCTGAAATTCTACCTGAAAATAGCTTTCAATATCACAACTGAATGTTATTAGATACAAAATACATCTCAAAGAAATCATCCAACGTTCAACCAGTTTGGAGCAAAAAGCAGCTATGGAATATGAACTTGTCTCTCACCTTACTGCCAGGGTTAAACCCAGGCTTACAGAACTGCTTGTAATAGTCCCAGTTGTTGGTACTCGACACATCCAGGAGAGTGGCAAATCTGTCGGGGCACTTGGAGACACAGAGCTGAAGGAGGCAACATATCAGCTCAGTGAGAATGCCCGTCAGCGTTACATAATGAAACATAGTGAGAAAAGTGGAGAGGAATGTAAAGCACTGCCAAGAAGAGCTTCTTTCAGTTTTTACCTGAGTTGTTGGGCACTGGAGGTTAATTAAAACCGCAGGATTGGCACATTTAAGCATGTTGAAGTAGAATAATATGGCTTTGTTTCTGGAGACAAAGAAGATCCAGACAAAGAGAGGATTTAGATTAGACAGATCTAAAAGTCTATTACAGCATCATGATTTATCAACGAGCTTAAGCACACACACACACACACGCACACACACACACACACACACACACAATGGTGTGTGGAAAAACTCGTCAGGATTAAACATAAATCATCTTTGTGTACTATGCTGCAGTCAGAGCCTATTTAGAGCACGGAGATAAGAGTGTAAAGCTGACAGATTGTATGAACAACATAATTACTCCTCTGCCCAGTTATTTAAAATGTCCACTCACACATTAGTTGTGTTCTGCTGGCCACAGAACTGACCCTGGCTGTCAGTCGGATAGACAATCTTCCTGAGGTCACCATGGATCCAGGCTTTAAACAAACAAACAACTTTTAATTTGAACATAATCATTTATACCCATGTAATTTATTATTCTATAATTAATATAATTATCATTAAGGTCATTAAAAGCAAATGATTTGAAGTCTTTCAGTCAGTTTCAGAAACCTGACAACACTTCTATACAATACAGGTYGTACAAATAATTAAACTTATTCCATAATTCTTTAAATATATCTGGGTTAAAGCAAATGCTGTACATGATAGCAGCAAAATAGGACTGCATTAAAACCTCATCTCCATAAATAAAACAATAAAAGCCTATTTAAGTATGTTAATGGTAAAGTTTTTTTTATACGAAACGTGTTTTGTTGCCAGATGGGGCCAGGGCACTCTTGTAAATTAGATTTTTAATCTCAAAGAGTTCTTCTGCTGGTAAAATAAAGGATTAATTCAAAAATTATTTTGCATGATTGAGCAAACAAAAAAAAAAAACGCAACAAAAACAATATATCCCACATAGCTTTATTTGTCTGGCCCAGTCCTGGCCCACACAATGCACTTTGCCCAGACACCACAAAGAATGACAGCCCTTTGGTGGCTCAGATGGGGTTTACCAGGGGTGGTGGTCCATGAATGGGTCAGCATCACATAAACCCAATTACAACCAGGCCAGCTGTGACATTGTCAGATTTGGGTCACATAGACCAAAATGCCACCTGGCCAGCTGTGGCATTGACCGATTTGAGATGCATAAACTAAACTACAACTGAGCCAGTTGTGGCATGCCATCTTAAAAACAGTGCCATCATTGCCAGACCTGGCCCACATCTCATTGACAAATCACTGGCCATGCCAGCAGTCAGCTAGCAGTGCTAGCGTTGCACCAGATCTGGCCCACATCTGTCTGCTATAAGGGTTTCTTTAAATTTCTAAATAGACATTAATATAACCATAAAGTGTTCAATCTAAAGATTCATTTCAAGGCTTTTTCCCCAGCTACACAATGAGGAAACATCCTGAGTATGAGACAACACACAGCTACAATAAGGATGATGAAAGAGAATTACTATGTGAGAAGACCAGACGGTTCTTTAGCTCACAGCAGATGTGTCAGTGTCTTTTTGAAGTCACATTCATTGTCATGGCTCCTTTGTTTCTGAGTCATTTGGAAACAAAAAGTTGTTCCTGCATGATGATACTAACAGCAAACTGCAAAGTAACAGTATTTAAGTAACGAGACATCTTTTGTAGATAAAGCGATTTGTAATTTACTGTCATTTGTGTAAGTTAAACATTTGATTTGAAATGTGTCACAAGTTGTGTATAAATTAAAGGACAGAAACATCTGAAATAAAACAGTAAAAATAAAAAAAGCAGTCTAAATTTATGAACCAAACAAGTTTAAACTTAAAAAGGCAAGATAATCTGAATGACACAAGAGATCAGAGGGGATATCTAGCAGCCAGAGGTGGGTGCAGTTCAGCTAATTTGCTAATAGCAGAACTAGCTTCCCATTTAGCAGATAAGTTTTTTTTTTTTGTGAACTTTGGGAACAGTTAGCAGACTGCTTAGTTTCCACTAAATTGGTTTCCGCTAATTTTCAGTCCACAAAAAAAAAATTTAACTTCAATTTTATGCCAAATTAAATTATATTATCCCTGCTTACAAGGAGTGCTGGACGTGTGAGGGACCATGTATGTACCATGT